GGGTCAAGTACTTACTCTTTGAGAGAAGGGTCAAAGGGGCACACATTTCTACGACCTGGACAAATAGTGCACAGGAGGATAATGGATGGTGATACCGTTTTCGTTAATAGGCCACCCACAACACACAAGCACTCCCTCCAAGCCTTATCAGTGTATGTCCATGATGATCACACTGTAAAGATCAACCCCCTCATATGTGGTCCCCTTAGTGCTGATTTTGATGGGGACTGCATTCATTTGTTTTACCCTCAGTCCCTTGCTGCCAAAGCAGAGGTTGTGGAGCTCTTCTCTGTAGGGAAACAGTTACTGAGTTCACACACTGGTAACTTCAATTTGCAGCTTGCCACTGACTCATTGCTGTCATTGAAGTTAATGTTCTCAAAGTATTTCTTCGATAGAGAAGCTGCCCAACAGTTAGCAATGTTTCTTCAGATGGCCTTACCTGATCCTGCACTAGTAGATGTTCGTAAATCAGGTACCATGTGGACTGCCTTACAGATCTTGGGGACTGCCTTACCTGATGGCCTTGATAGTTGTGGGGAGACACATACAATTGGGAAAAGTCAGTTCTTGGGGATCGAGTACAACAAGGACTTGCTTTCATCCATTCTGAATGATGTTATCACATCTATCTATTTTATGAAGGGGCCAAATGATGTGCTGAAGTTTTTCAATTCTTTACAGCCTCTATTAATGGAGAATCTGTGCACAGAAGGTTTTAGTGTTAGTCTCCGAGATTTTTACACGTCAAAGGCTGTTAGGGATGGTATCCAGGAAAGAGTTCAGTGCATGTCCAAGTTGTTGCATCACTTGCGGTCATCCTATAATGAGTCTGTGGAAGTACAATTAGAACATCACTTGCGTAATGAGAAACTTCCAGTTATTGACTTTGTGCACAAGTCATCTGGCATTGGTGTTCTAATTGATTCCAAGAGTGAATCTGCCCTTAATAAGGTGGTTCAACAAATTGGGTTTTTAGGCATGCAAATATCCGACAGAGGAAAATTTTACTCTAAAACATTGGTAAATGACATGGCTCGACTGTTTCAGAAGAAGTATCCTTCTGCTGGTAGTAACCCTTCGGAGGAATTTGGGTTGGTTGGAAGCTGTCTGTTCTA